ATCAGCGAGACCGAGCCTGATGATTACCGATCCACGGTCTCGCACTAAAATTATTGGATGAGGTCGATGGGACCCGATCCGCCTTGGCTTGCTACAGTTTTTACACTTAGCCATTTCCTGAATATTCCAGACACGTACCAATCCAAAACTTACATCACAACCACTATCACTAACGTCACATCTCAATTCCAAAGAGCTGAGATTATTACACGGTTTCGAAGGGCTGACGTCATCCTACATTAGCATGGCGACACCATGTGTGCTCCCCAAAGACAAAAGGATACTTGTCAATCTCTTATTAGCTAGCATTTTGAGCTAAAGGCTCAAGTCTTAGTTTTTTTGTCTATAATAGCACCACCCCCCCCCCCCCCCCCCCCAATTTAAAAAGGGATCAAAAACTAAATGTACTAATTATTCTTCCAAAATACGATAGTATACATCTTTCTCATTGTAGAATTATTTCAACTTCTCTCTATGATTAGAATACCCGAGTTTCACAAGTCATAACCATCCATTTGGTAGCTAAAGAATGCCAGTAAGACTCTTTTTGATAAAGCTGTGAAAGAGTGTTTTGTGTTTACTGCAAGAACAAGAAGAAGTGTATAGTTATGTGATTTGGAGTGTTGTCCAGCATTTGCCGCCATTATATCTTCATTATATTCCATTTAGTTGTTACTTGTTAGACATTAATTGGCGATGATAGCTTTTTAATCCTTAAAAAGACTTTGGTATTCAAAGAGTTCCCACTTTTGTCAAAGGAATCTGGTATTGAATGTCTCTCAAGCATATAGCAAACTAGCCACAGTAGTGGATGACAATTTTTGAGTATAGACAAATATGAAATAAAAAATTAAAATTTATGTCTGTTGCTAAATGCTAATCGTTGGATCGTGAACCACTTTCTCTTTGATAACATGGTGTAGTGCTACAGATTTACTCCTCACCTAGTCCCGAATTAACTTTATTTTTGTTAAAGAACAATTCCTTTGGTGTGGCGACTGATCCGACTCTCAATCAAGTACTTGGTATATCTTTGAACCATTGGTTTCATCTCTCTAACATGGCATATCTTACATAATTACATTTACCTGTTTGGTGGCCAAAGTCATTATCTGCCAAGTTCCAAGTCTTATACGGATATTATTTAAAAGCCTTTAAAATCTCTTAATTGTATTTGTGGTTACCGCATTTGGATCTGTTTTAGCTAAAAAGGTTAGAACACAGAAGCATGGATAATGATTGATTTCATATATTGTAAGTTAACCGTTGCTGAAAAGAGTCAAAAACAGTGAAGTTGGAGACTATCGGGCTACGTTTCAAAAACCTTTAGAAATATATGGTGAACGAGGTAACCATCCAGAATATTTTCTTTTGGATTGAAATTTGCTAGTTTTGGTCTGATTTGATTTGTTCAAATATGGTCTAAATTGGCCTGGTCTAATAGATGGCTGATCTTTGTTTATTTTATAGTTGTCCATGTCTGGTTTAGTCTAATCTATTTAAGTCTAGTCTGATCTGCTTATGTCTGATTTGATCTCATCTAATCTGATCGGAGACTAAAAACAATCCACAAGAAAACATCCTAATTGATTGAGTGACCATTTTAGCACAAAGTTTTGAACTTAGGATGTTTTTACATGGACTGTAATATGTCCCAGACCAGACCAGATCGGACCATATCAGAATAGACCAGACCAGACTTGGATTGTTATAAAAATACAAAGAAATCAGTCCAGACCAGACTGGTTCAGACCAGACCAGCAAATTACCGTCAAAGTAAAAACATTCTTAGTCTTCTTAACCAGCTTTTTTACTTTTAGAATATACTTCTAAACTTATTCTAGTATATGTTCATAATAATATCAACATCATTGATTAGGATGCGACTCGAACCTGCAACTTCTTCTATATGAAAGTCTAAGGGAGTGGTTGCAAACACTACTCCATAGTGCTTTTGGGCTTTTTTGTGAAAAAAGTCAAAAAGGGTGTTTGCAATCCAGAAATTTAGATTAAATTAAAGCACTTTTAGAGCCCGTTTGGTAGCACGGAAATCAACTGATTTGGCTGATTCTGCTGAAATTTATGAAGTTCTGGCTGGAGTGGCTACATTGGCTGATTCTGCAGATTTAAGAAAAAATTATTTTTAAAATATATTTTATAAATAGTATATAGAAAAAATTATATGTAAAAATAGCTAAAATGGTTATCTACAGTAACTTCAGCCAATACAGCTAGAAAAGTAACTTCAACCTTACTTTTTCTTCTTATTACACAATTCAGCGCGCAAAAGCAAAAATTACGTGGTTGATAAAAAGTTGGCTGATAAGTCGAAAACAGTGTTACCAAACGACCTCTTAAGCTAGAAGTTAAAAGCATGGTGGAGGGTTAGTGCTGTTATTCGAGCCGAGCCGAGCCCGAGTATCACACATTCGAACTCGACTCGCTCAAATTTCGAGCCTGGCTCGAGCTCGGCTCGTTAAATTTCGATTCTGCATTTGAGCTCGAACTCGACTCGTTAAAGTAATTTACAACTCGAGCTCGACTCGTTAATATACCCGAGTCAAGCTACTCGAGCTCGAGCTCGACAACTCGAACTCGAAAAACCCATGTGTTAACTACAATATCATCACACTCGAAAAACCCATGACAATATGCCCACCTCACGAGCCCTATCGAGCTTCACCGGGTTTTATCGAGTCGAGCCAGCTCGACTCGTGAACTTTATCGAGTAAACAAAAGAGTTCGAACTCGACTCGTTTTCTCTAATATACGAGCCGAGCCCGAGTTTAATCGAGTCGAGTCGAGCCGAGCTCGAGCTGAGCTCGATTTCCATAACAGCACTATGGAGGGTGCTTTTAATAGCTTTTTGGTATTTTTGTAAATAATTCCATCTTTAAGGATAGTTATTAAGTTGAACATTTCAATTAAATCCAAACTACCCTCCCCTCCTCTCTCTCACCAATCCGGACTTGCTTCTTCTCCAGCAACGATCTTCCTTCCAATTTGTTCAGGCCAAGCTGATTCTCCACTCCTGTACCACTCCTATCCGTTCCAATTCATCCGCAAAATTGTCGCCTGCTTCTTCCGCAAACTGTACCGCTACCCCATCGTCACTCCTCTTTCTTTTATATATATATATATATATATATATATATATATATATATATATAGAAAAGATCCTGTCCAGACGTCCGGACAGGAGCCGCCGTCCGGCCGGCGGCGTTTGGCCGCCTTCCCGGTGGAATTTTTTGATGAAATTTTTATGGCATGTTCTCCATCAAGTCTAGTTTATCCACAAAAAAATTCAGCCAAAAACTCAATCGGGAAGGTCGTCAAATGATTTTTGCAAGTTAACTGGTCCGGAAAATACACATATTCCGGACCAGTTAACTTGCAAAAATCATTTGACGACCTTCCCGATTGAGTTTTTGGCTGAATTTTTTTGTGGATAAACTAGACTTGATGGAGAACATGCCATAAAAATTTCATCAAAAAATTCCACCGGGAAGGCGGCCAAACGCCGCCGGCCGGACGGCGGCTCCTGTCCGGACGTCTGGACAGGAGCATTCCTCTATATATATATATATATATATATAGAGGAATGATCATGTACATATGGATGTACGGGGGGCTCCGTACGGACAAAGCCATTAGAGGCCCTTCCAGGTGGAATTTTTTGTTGAAATTTTTTGAGCATGTTCTGCATCAAGTCTAGTTTATCCATACCAAATTTCAGCTCAAAATTCGATCGGGAAGGCAGTCAAATAAATTCTTGAAATATATGGCGCATTCTGCGCACATATAATGTGCAGTATATTTCAAGAATTTATTTGACTGCCTTCCCGGTTGAATTTTGAGCTGAAATTTGGTATGGATAAACTAGACTTGATGAAGAATATGCTCAAAAAATTTCATCAAAAAATTCGAACGGGAAGGGCCTCAGATGGCTTTGTCCGTACGGAGCTTCCTGTACATATGGATGTACAGGAACAGCCCTCTATATATATATATATATGGGAAAAGGTGCAAATAGGCCCATGTACTAACAAAAAAAGGTCAAATAAGCCCTTATTTAGGAGGCTCTGTCTGGCCGTCGTCATTTCAGGTGGTTCCCGGTGGAATTTTTTATTGAATTTTTTTGATCATCTTATTCATCAAGTCTAGTTTACCCATACCAAATTTTAGCTAAAACTTAAATCGGGAAGGCATTCAAATGAATTCTTGAAGATAACTGCGCTTCTAACTGCGCAGTTATTTTCAAAAATTCATTTGAATGCCTTCCCGATTGAAGTTTTAGCTGAAATTTGGTATGAGTAAACTAGACTTAATTAATAAGATGCTCAAAAAATTTCATCAAAAAAATCCACCGGGAAACACTCCAAATGGCGACGGCCGGACAGTGTCTCCTAAATAAGGACTTATTTGATCTTTTTTGGTTAGTACATGGGCCTATTTGCACCTTTTTCCTATATATATTAAGTACAAATTGCCCCGGCCTTGAAAGGCAAAGGAGGCAACAAGGGGTGGTCAAAGATAAAAGCAAGTGGGAATGGAGGCTTCATTGAATGATTGACCGGAGCTTGAAACGTGAAAGCACACAGCAGTGGGGAGATCGATGGCTCTTTGAAGTCCCCATTTTCATTTGGGGTTATTTTTGTATTTTAACTATAAACTATATCAATTGTCACTTTTTTATCAAACACTTCAACTTTTACCTTTTAATTAAAATCAATTTTAATCTCAAACACTACCAACTTTTACTACAAATCACTTTTCCAATAATCTCTTAAAAAAATCACTTCTAAAATGCACAAGCAATGTCAAACACTCCCTAACAATGGTGCAATCCGATTAAAGGATACTTGGCAACCGGCATTTTTTTTAAAAGGTGAGGTGAAAAAGATGAGAAATGCTTAGTGTACATATGTTGTACACAAACAGTACACCATATAAAAACCCCAATTTAATTTTTACCTTTCCTTTTTCTTGATTTACCCCTTCCCACCCAACCCCCCTCTCTCTTTCCCAAACCCTTTTCCATCTCCGAAGAAGTATCGTGCTCCTGTTCTCCTCCTTCGCCCCCAGCTATTTCTTCATCTCTTTTTCTCTTTTTTGTCCACCATTTCCCTTCTATCTTCTAAATTAGTTAGCTTATACAATATTGTGATGAAGTATTCTCTCAATGATGGACCATTTTTCATAAAAGTATTATTAATGAGGTAATAATCTATTCCGATTTTTCTTGTGCATCTATGAGATTTATTTATTTTTCCTGATTATATATATATATATATATATATATATATATATATATTTGTATCCTATAGCATTAAACAATTGACTATTTTGTTCTATTGTAAGATATTGTGGTGTTAAGTGTTAACTATCATAGCAACACTTATACATTCAGAGCAAAAATAACGATTAAGGTCCATTAAAACATTGATTTTAAGATTTTTCCTATGACCTTAGAAAATAATTATGTCTTAGAACTTCATTTTTTGTACATATGTGTAGATAGTAATGGTATTTTGCACTTTGGAGGGAAGTATCACATGAATGTTTTGGGCATGCCCGCCAATTAATTAGTTAATTTGTTCTTCTTTGAATTTGCTTCAACATAGGGCTTTTTTGTTAACTAGTTTTAGTTTCGTTTTTACAAGTTTCACAATTCTTATTAGTAGCATCCTACTATGGTCTCTTTCCAACTTAAAGTAGAGAAAACAAATTGGTCTCTGTGAATAAAGAGCATTATATTTCCATTGTTTTCTTATATTAAAAATCACTTTCTTTGTGATGCAGGTGTGCATTATTTTCAAACAGATGTTGCAAAATAGTTAAGAGCGTACATGGTCTCTTTTTACTTAACTTTATACACATGTAGTTTTGTTTGTGACCAGACAAAATGGAAGATGGTTTTCTTAGCTACTCCAGGAAGTTGATTGCATCTACATTCAAATTATGCTCTTCACTATGACTTTAAATTAAAGTATAGATATTATATTATCTATTTATTTAATGAGTGCAATAAAAGCTTTCTTTTTTGTATGGTTTAGTATCGTTCTTATCAGTTTTGTAATATTATTATAATCATTGTTTGAATACTTCGTTATTAATGATCATCTCTACATAGCTATTTCTATATATCATATGAGTTTTGCAGACATGGGATTAACATGAAGTTTGACAAACTTATTGGTCCTTGCAATTGTCAAGGTATGACGAAAGGAACATGATGGTCTTGTGAAGATGATGGTCTTATGAAGAAGATTGCCAACTGGTTAATGTAGATTAGTCGGCATTGGAATGTTGGAATGTGTTGACATCTGGCTTGTAAATGATATTGTTTGTTTCTTTTGGATTAGTTGGCATTGAGATTTGAGATGTTAGATTGTATATGACATTTGGGTTGTAAATGATAATGTTTGTTCTCTGTTGGAGCACTTTTCATTTCAATTAAGAATCAAAGACATGTTTCGATGACTATTGTTTGTAACCGGACACTTCAAGTCGCGTTCACAGACAATTCCAATTAGCACATTTTTATGTTCCAGTGATAATTGCCTGTGGCCGGATATTTCGTGTCGGCTTCACAGACAATTCCACTTAGCACATTAGCCCAATTAAGAGGCTATTGTTTGTGGCCAGACACTTCATATTACGTTCACAGACACTTTCACTTAGTACATTAGGTCCGCTCATTAGAACATTTGCCTGTCCCAGTGGGTATTGCCTGTGGCCGGACATTTCATGTCTAGTTCACAGACAATTCCACTTAGCTCATTAGGTTATTAGTCCATTACAGTGGTTATTGTTTGTGACCAGACACTTAATATCAGGTTCACAGACATTTCTACTTAGTGCATTAGTCTGTTCCAGTGTGCATTGTCTGTATCCAGACATTTCATGTTTAGTTCACAAACAATTCCACTTAACATATTAACCCGTTAACCCATTCTAGTGGCCAGACACTACGTATCACGTTCATAGACATTTGTACGCAGCACATTTGCCCATTGTAGTGGTTGTTGTCTCTAACCAGACACTTCATGCCTGATTCACAGACAATTCCGTGTAGCACATTAGCCCACTCTAATAGCTATTGCCTGTTGCCAGACACATCATGTATGGATCACAAACAATACCATTTAATTACAAATAACCCTTGGAAGTGGAATATGACCAAGTGCCAACCAACAAGATTAAAATTTAATTACAAAGTAAAAAAACTAAAATCAAGAAGTGCATGTAATTACAACTAATAATTACACAAAGGTCAAAGTTTGATTACAGAAAGTAAAGTCATCTAGTCTAACTTTTTCTTTATTAGTTCATAGATCGGTGCGAAACTTAAAGTAATGCATGTTTTATCAACACATTTGTCTTGTGGATGATCCATCCAAGCCTCCACAGCACAACCACATAGTTCTTAATTCTCTCTGCAAAAGAAAAACCATCAGCCTAGTATAGCACCATAAAACTCACTTATGAAGTCCAGAAACTCACATATGAAGTTTATGCCCCTTCAAAGACAACAGATTATCTAGGTAATTATAAAGAGGTTCTGAAGCAAGCAAAATTAGAAAAGCACTATAACAAAACACAGATTATACAAACATTCACTCAATGACAATTATAAAGAAGCAGATAATCCTTTAAGTCCGGGTTAAATATACTAAATAGTAAAGTACAAAATAAAAACACAATATGAAACCAAGAAGCAGCATAAGTCTGGTTTTTGCATAATTCTTTTTATTGTGTATACTTAGATGTGAGTTAAGACTTGACAGATGCATTCTTCCACTCTTGGTCTTAGATTGAGATAACCTGAATATGCTTTATAGGGTTATTATGAATTAAAAAAGCATTTTACTAGCTTATGTGCATACAAAGTGTTAAAAACGAGCACACATGAAAATGTTAAAATACAAACACACAAGAGTATTATTAGTCTCAATTAATGCAATGTTAAGATATCAATAAAACATAAAATTTAAAAGAATAAAAATTTAAAGTTAAAACCCTAAATTAGAATAATGAAAAGGGGAGAAATTATTGTCTAATGAGTCAGGATTCTAATTAGTTAGGCTTAAGGGGGTTAGATTGAAAGAAGAAATGAATACAATGGTGGCAATGGGTTGGAGGGAATTTACCAGGTTGGAAATCAATCCTCCATTTCAGACTCGCACGCAGGTGGCCGACACTGTAACTTCTAGGTCGCGGCAACATCCAGGCGGCGAAGGCTTCAAGGTCTGTGGCGCTACCTATTCAATCATGACCAACCATAGAGACAATTATATGGCTTGTGACTATTAAATGTGGAGAATTGCAATGAAAATGAAGAAGAAGAAAGAAACGAGAAAGTGAGGTTGTGGGAGAAAAGCTACGGGAAAGGCGCAGAGAAGAAATAGGAGAAGAAAAGAGGGGAGAGAGGAAGAGGGTAAAAAACAAAAATGAAATGGTAAAAATTATGAGGTATTTATATCATGTACAAGTTGTGTACAAACCATGTACCTCTAGCATTTTTGGAAAAAGATACGCAGTATGATGCATGTCCAAAAATGGCAGCCCGGTCTTAGAACCAGGCAGGCCAATGAAAATCTTGAAGTGTGCAAAACATGCAAACCCGACTGGCTTACAAAAACCTCAGTCTCCAAACAAGTCTGAATCCGGACAAGTAAAACCCAATTTCGAATGGCTTTTTCAATTTTGTAATTTTAATTTCTTATTCTAGCCTCTAAGATAAGAAAACTGAACTGCAATCAGGACTGTGGTACATTTATACATTTATTCGAAAAAGAAAATCAGGTCAACATTATTTTTGCAAAATGTACATACCAAATAATATTATTGAAACAAAATGACAAATTATATACTAGTATTAGAATATTATGGGTGTGTTCAAAATGCTTGTTAAGTACTACCTCCGTCCCACTATGTTTGGGACAATTCGGTTTAAAGTAAAAAGACCCCTGTTCGCACTCAAATTTTTTTTAGAAAGAAAAATTTACATATTCAGAAACTACATTAAAAGCTTTACAAAGTTGCAAAAACCAGAATCAAATTTCATAAAAATTTGATATTTAAAGTAAGATTTTAGCGGGACGGGGGAGTAGTGATATTTAAAAGAGTGATTTCTGTTAACCAAGTGAATAGTGTCTGGGACAATTTTAGCCGGACGGAGGGAGTAGATAGTATCTCCATTAATTGACTATTAGGAAAATAGTTACTTTTTACGTAATAATATGTACCGTCATGTACGAATTGACTCGTAATCTGGTCACTTGGCCAAGTCATTTCTCTTAGAGCATCTCCAATGCTTCACTTTCCAAGTAAAAAATGGACGCCACATAATACAACACTAAAGCCGTATTAATAAAACTCCTCCAATGTTGTCTTTATTTTGTTCTGTAAACTCCTCCAATGTTGTCTTTACTTTGTTCTGTGGTGCATACGTGTTTATGAAAGTGTCGAACCCACTTTCTGATTTTCAAAAGTCATTCACAGGCTGAATCAGCATTTTGGGTTAAAACTGAAAATAAGTGGTGCCGATTTGTTTAAGAGGCGATAAATACGGATATCATCTTTATCCATTAGTGGCTTAGGCAGTTGCAAAATTTTTCCGTTTACGGAACTTGAGTCTTTTTAAATTGCATTGGAGAAGACTTTATGCTTTCAATTTATTATACCTCCACTTTTATCTTATGTGGTTTGACATTCCATACATTTTTTGCCATGTGTCAATTATTTTTCAATGTTGAAAGTGGAGCATTAGAGATGCTCTTAGTCAAGTAAATTTACATGAGAAGAGGAAAAAGACACGATCTTTGTTTAAGATTATGAGATGTGTACTGGCAAAATCATTCACAGCATTGCATTTGAACTCCCCGACTATGCACAATCATCATAAACAATAGCTGCGTTACCTGCACAGCTGCATTTATCAGCAAACAAATATAAACTAATACAATAGGTTGGTTCTTAGCATGTATCGTGTTCGGTTCTTGAGACAGCAAAAAATAAACTTTCTTGGAGAAACTGATGGTCATTAAGAATCCCAGATGTGCTAATGCTTCATCAACTAAAATCAGGAAAAGTTGTAGAGTTTCTGAACCGGCTCAGACCTCAATCACCATAGCCCAAGGGCTAGCTCACCATTCACCACCAAGGAATCAACAGGGAAGACGAAAGGGCAACGATCTCAAACACTCAGTTTAGGAGCCCAACCCCCAGACCAGACTACCCAGAGAAACCCACCGGAGAAGAACCCCAAACTACCAGACCAGAGTGAAGCCCCCAAAAGGATCCCCAAGATATCACCGGAGGGTAGCCGGAGCTCGACCGTGGATGATACCGGCACTCTCTCACTCTAGGACTAGGGTAACACACATGGAAGCTCATTGGTTAGAAAGAAGGAGGGGTCGATCAAATAGGAGGTTCGAGAAGGAACCAGACAAGTATATGAAGGGCCACTTAAGTCACAGGCTGGGTTAAAGACAAAAGGGGACAAATGGGCTTGGACGGGTAGACAGCCCAAATGGGCCAGGGTAATTAAATAGGAGACCAGTCTATTTAATGAGGTGGACCACGGGCCAGTGAGGTGGACCAAAATCAACTTACAAAAGTTATGAGGAAAGGAAAATGAAATGTGAATCTTCAAAATTTTATTACCTGCCATGAAGTAGTGTGGAGACAATCACAGGGAGCTGGAGCCCTGTGGTTGTGGTGGTGGCAGCTCAGAGCTCAGCATATGATGCAGTAACACATCCACTCGCTGGCTCCGTGTTTTTGCACTGTATGTATGTAACAACATGGCATTAAAAAATAAAATACATAATCAACAAATGCAACCATAATATGAAATGTTCGCTCAGTCACTAAAAAATTGCTCGGACATTTTTTTATGTAGTACTCCGTAATATGTAGTAGGTAGCTGTGAGGCAGACATACCCAACAGTGCGTGGTCGGGACTTTCCAGTTCCTGCCACCTGAAAATGAACAGTTTTCCTTTCGTGATGGATGAATGAATGAATGCACAAAGGTGAAGAAAATAAATGATAAATGAAGTTATGAGTATTCTTCCTCTACTACTTGAATACTCAAATGAGAGAAGCAGGCTTTTACCAACCTTTGCATCCTCATCCATTGCTGAAGTCTCAAGCTCCATCTCAGCTTGGAAAACCTCCAACACGAATGCTACAATCTGAAAGGAAGGAAACGGTTCCTTTAATCATCTAACTTTTTCGTACAACATTAGTGTTTTCTGTCACATACGACTTTCATACATCCTCCGTCTCACAAACATTTGCCTTTTTTTGAATTCTTGGTCACATAAAAGTGAAATATAGCAAATCTCTGTCAGACAGAGGTAATGTATTGATGTTGACCAGGAGGACTTACTAAATTCAGTAGCCACAACACAGATATAACATAAAAGCTTATGAAGTAGGCGCAACTCCACCAAGTCCCTGTCAAATCCTTGTAGCTCT